CCCACCTCCAGACTCCCGGCATTCACTGACCCACTTTGTATCCATATTTGCTTTTCCTGGACATTTCACATAAATGGAATATTAAAAAGTGGGGTTTTTATGCACCTGGATTCTTTCACTTAGCATGCTTTTGAGGTTCATTGTTGTAATATGTACTTTGTTCCTTTTTTATTGCCAATTAGGAATCTATTGTATGGATTTACCATTTGTCACTTTTGTTTTTCCATTTGTCACTTAATGGATATTTGGGCTGTTTTCACCTTTTGGCTATTGTGACTAATGCCGATATGAACATTGACGTATATAAGTTTTTCTGTAGACACATGTTTTTGTTTCTCTTGGGTTTATACATAGGAGGGGAATTCCTAGGTCATGTTGTCACTCTTTGTTTAACTTTTTAGGACCCCACCAAACTGTTTTCTAAAGTGGCTGCACCATGTTACACTCCCACCAGCACTGTATGAGGGTTCCAATTTCTCCACATCCTTGCCAGCACTTGTTAAATTGATCATCCTTTTTATTACCGCCGTCCTAGTGGGTGTGAAGTGGTATTTCGTCAATTAATTTGCATTTTCTCAATGGCAAATGATGTTGAACATTTTTTTATATGCTTGTTGGCCCTCTGTCTTCTTTGGTGATCTATCTGTCTTGTCTTTTTATTATTGAGCTTTAAGTGTTTTTTATGTATTCTCAATACAAGTTTTTTTTTTTAATCAGATATATGATTTGCAAATATTTCCCCCAGTCTTCTTTTATGTGTCTTGATGATGTCTTTTAAAGTACAACATTTTAAATATTTTTAATTTTGATGAAGTCTGGTATTTTGATATTTTGGTATTGCTGATATTTTTCTTTTAGCGATTGTGCTTTTGGTGTCATATCTAAGAAATCTTTACCTGACCCTGGGTTACAAAGATTTATTTCTATCTTTCCTTCTAAGAGTGTTATAGTTTTAGCCCTTACATTCAGGTGTGTGGTTGAGTTACTTGCTCTGTATAGTGTGAGGTTGGGGGTCTTTCATTCTGTCCTTGGTCTAGGACCACGCTGTCTCAGTTACTGTTGCGTTGTCGTAAATTTTGAAACCTAGAACTGTGAGCCCTCCACCTTTGATCTTCTTTCTGAAGCATGTCCTGGCCATCCTGGGTCCTTTCCCTTTCTGGCTGGAAGGATTGGCACATGGGCTGGTTTCTGGGTTTCTGACCTGAGATGTCAGACCTGCCGGTTTCACACCTCCCTCCGCCCTTTCCTCCTCAATGACTCCCATTCCCAGACTCAGCAGTCGTTGGGGCCAGACGTGGGCAGTGCCACTTCTGGCCCCTAGTCTTGTCTAGCTCCCTCCTGCCTCCTGCTTTCCCGTCCTTCACACTGCGCCCCTTCCCTTCTGAGCAGGTTCTCACTTTCCCATCATGCCTGCCTTCTGTGATGGCTTCTGTGCTTCCTGCCCTTTGGGCTGGTGACCTTTGTCCCTGAGTCTAATGCTGTCTTGGTTGGTGGAGTGAATGAGGGCCTGAACGAGCTCCCTGGTTCCTGGAGCCTGTCCTCCTGGGCTGGTACATCCACTTTCTACTTGGGGGGTCAGCATCGCTCCCACGCCCATCCTGGTCGGTTTCCCCACAGCCAGCTCACCTCACTGGGTGAGTTTCATTCTAGTTCCAGGGTTGGTCCATTTGCTCCTTCTTTCACAGGTTAACTGGGCCATGCTGAGTTGATCTCAAGCTACAAAATGAGCTGGAAGTCGGTCCGTGTGCTTTAGGAGCTTCATAATTTTGACTGACATATCACACGCCTGTGTTTAAGGGGAAGTCAGTATTCTAGAGATTTCATTATTTCATCGTGGGGACAGTATGATGGAAAGCAGACACTGATGATACCAGAGCAAGTGATGGTACATCATGCCACCAAAAATACTGTATTTCACAGAATCTGTAACATGTCGATTATGAGATATACCGTATTTTATGTGCCACTAAGAAAGAGCAGTGCTAATTAATCTATGAAGCAATCCTTTCTGACATTGACTGCAGGATACATTCTTATTTCAGAGATGCTAAAGTTTGGGTTGAGGAGGGTCATCTCAGAATTGATAAAATATGGATCTGGAGGTCTCTTGGTTGGCAGCTGGTCCCTCTCTTCCTCCCTCCCTTTCTTACCTATTGTCATGTCTGTGTCACAATAAATGAATGTCACTTTCGGTAGGAGACACTCATGGTATCAGTTCTTTTCCATCTCTCTTTATATACTTGGTCAGGAATATACAGCCCTCTTTCTCCTAACAAAATGTAACATACTGTTTTTGTTCTTACTTGACCTATTACGTGTTTCCTTAGCCATGCACGTGCATGAAAATAGAATCATGCCAGATTTCAAGGTAGTCACAGGTGTGCGTGCTGAAGTAATTGCTCCATTTCCTAACCAGCAGATGCAGATCTGGTGGGTGTTGTATTCTCTGTACATTTACCGTGGCTTCCATGAACTAGCGTCTGCTAACCCAAGCCCATGCCCAGCCAGAACCGTCGGGGGATTCCTGCCCCTTGATCAGAATTTGCAGTTTATTTTGAGTCTCCATTGTGGGTGAATGAGCCTCAAAGTCTGTGTGGAGGGTTGGCTGTGGTTGGTGAGGATCCTCTCCTTCCAGCCAAAGGCATGGATTTCACCGTAACTTCTGGAGAAAGGGGAACATTGTCTGGAACTGGAATGCTAAATGAGGCCCGCCACCTGCTACCCCAGACCTTCGAAATGGTTAGTGGTTCTGGAGCATTTGTGCTAAACCTAGACACCCACAACAGACATAATTTTGTTAATACCACGATCTGCTTTCTGATTTCCCTGAGGTGTTGCCAAACCAGCGTAGTAGTTCATTCATTTAATATGACATGCCTTTGGTGCTGGGGCCACATCTATGAAGATTTTTACAGCCTGTTTACTCTTGAGTTCATTTTAACCCCAATTAAGAAACTGCAATTTTATATCTCACAAGTGGAACACAGAATAGTGTGTTTGTGGTGTATTTAAAAATAAGATGACGTGTGTGCCTGAGGTCAGTGCTGAGTCTGCAGGCCCCCACTTCGATGCCCATGCGAGCGACGACTGACGACGAGGCATCACCTCACAGAGTCTAACAGTGCTCATTCTGTTTATTTGTCCAGCCCCTTCTACGGAGAAGACTTCTACTGTGAAATTCCTCGGAGCTTTCGCCACCTGTCGTTTTACATTTTTGATAGAGACGTTTTCCGGAGGGATTCAATCATTGGTAGGTACTTAAATAGATGTTTCCTTTTTTTCTTCACCTCTTCTGAATGGGGTCTCATTCAGGCGTAAGCGTGGTATCTCTTCCAGGCACAGCAGAGTTGATTTAGCATTTTTAGCCTGGCCTTTCTGGCTGTGCTGAGCAGTGGCAGGAAGTGGCCCAGGGTGCCCAGCTAGGCTGGCTGTGGCATCCCCCATGGCTGGGACATGCTGCCTGAGTCCCACCCCGGCAGCATGAGGAGGAGCTTCATAGCATGGACTCACATGGGGAGACCAGAACACGTCAGCAAAGGCTTTGGAACTATCCTTTAAGATGAGAGTCCAGCACCCCCAAACCTGTCCTCAAATGACTCCTGAGGGCTCCTCTGTGGGTCCAGTGTGCATAAGAGACCCTCTGTCATCATCCTGTCATCCTCAGGCTGTGCCCGTTCCTGACACCCAACACCCCTCCATTGTGACTAGGATGGTATCACAGTGCTCTCCAAGGCATTGGAGTGTTCTCAGAGATATTAGGGTGTTCTCAGAGATAGTGAGTTGCTCTAAAAGGCACTGGCATTTCAGTAGTAAACTCCTGGAGAGAGTGATGCCCGATCTGACTGTGGAGGAGAGGTGTAGAACATCAAAGAACCTTCCGGAGTTCAGGAGTGCACCTCTGTCCCATTCATGTTCACCGTGGCATTAAAAATAGACTTGAGAAGCCAAACGTGGGCACAATTGTAGTTATAGGAATCCAAGCAGCATATAGCATCTATGTTATGGTCTTGGCCTTTCTCGGGAGGGGAGGCATTGGGGTTGTTTAGCTGTTGGGTAGAGCACTTTGAATCTGAGGGCACTTGAGTCACACAGACTGTTCGTTGCCTTTCCTCTGGCTCAGCCTTCGGGCGTTCTGACCATCCCCTACTCACTGCCCAGACCACTATGGAAGGTCTATAGTGGTCTTGGAATGTAGGCTGCATGGCCTCAGAGCTTGCTCTTCGCACTTCTCCCCTCACTCTAGGACTACCAGAGCTGCCTGTTCTATGTGTGGGTTTAAAGCTGACCACTGGCATCCCACTGCACTTACAAAAGATGTTCAAAACATGGTCAGGGCCCCAAAATGACTCCATCATGTCCATCTGCAACATCTGGCATTGGTGTAGGAGGTGATCACTAAACATTTGTTGAAAGAATGGACGATTTTCGAGAATAACTCCACACATTGCATTTATTTGATTTTACAGATTCAGTGTGTTTTATAGATAGTCTCCTATCTGAAGAAATTTTTTTTGGAGTTACATGCTTTCATTTTAGAGTCTGATTTATTAATTTTTTTTTAATGTGCCAAGTTTGAGGCCACCCTGCCTGATCTGGCCTGGAGAAAGAAGTCTGTACTCCTGCGCATGCATTCGAGACCTTTCATAATCTGACCAAATTGTTCTCTGGGCTTAACTTCTCAGTGTCCACAATGGCCTTTCTATCTGTCTCGACATAAAACCTCATGTGTATTCACACACACACACACACACACACACACACACACGGGTGGAACTCTACCTGTGTACTGCACAGGACTCCGCCTGCACAGTCTACCTGTCACCACCTTAGGTGCCTTTTTAATGCACCTCAGTTTTCTGAAATCTGACTAGTCCTGCAGTGACGAGATCCCATGCTGTCTATCCCCGAGCAGCATGCTTCTCCCTCGCTAATGGGGAGTGTGTTAAAATTTATCCATACCGGTGGACTCAGATTTTCCTAGGGCTGAACCTGGAATTCCATAGTTTATTAAGTTCCTCAGGTGATTCTTACAGTTAGAAAAAAACTAATGCTTAATGCTTATGTGTGCTAGGCACTATGCTGGGTGTTTTCGTGGGCATAAAACCATGCCATTTATCTTTTGTATTAACCCCGGGAAGTATATAACACCTCCACTTGCTATATTAAAAAACACTGAGGTTCAGAGAGGATGGCCTAGCAGGCGGGGAGCCAACAAATCAAACATCTCTGGTTCTATTTGTAGAGAATTGAGTACCAGTATTAACAGAGACATGGGAGGGGAAAGGTGTGTCTCCACCTGCTTTGGTCATCCCATGAAGTCATCTACCTCCCTAAAATCCTTCAGTAGGTTTTCCTACCCAACACCCCAGAACTCACTCTTACTCTGAATCTTATTTTCATCCTGCCCAGTGTGTGATAGGTGGCTTCACAGAATTTCAGTCTGAACATTTTATGTTCTAATCAGGCATTTAGATTTATGCTTTCCCCGGGACTCTGGGCACCAGTCACCTGATGCGTGAGTGTGAAAGCATTCCTAAACCTAAGTGATTTGGAATGACTAGAGGAAGGGAGAGCAGTAGTCACCTTTTCCACCAGACTCACCAGATCGCTGTGTCTCCAGCAGGA